TAGGTCATTCTTAATTCATGAGATACCCTACACTAGTTTAGCATAAAACAGAATTCAATCCTGTTTCTCCTGCCAACAAAATCCAAGGTGTGCATATTCCATGACTTATTTTAAATTGCTAACAAACAACGTGACTAGGAAAACTTTGTCTTACTGGCCAGTGGTGTCCAAAGACAAAGATTTGGCTGCGTGCAATGTCTACACGATTCCAGGCCAAAGCCAAACTGAGCTGGTCTGGAGCAGATGCATTGGTACCTAAAGAGAAACACAGAGATGTTTAGTATTTCATGCATGATGAAACATGATTGGACAACCTTCTGTAATTCACTTCTCCAAAAACTAGAAAACAGCTAACCCCACTCCCTATCATACTACATATTAGACTCCATATCATACTACCACAAAGCAGTGGATTCATCAAATCAATTTATAGCATCTTCTATTTAACTGAATAATCCTAATTTCAAAATGATTAACCAGATTCTCTCCTTTTTTTCCTTAAAGTGCCCACATTGGGTTTATATTCTGATGCTAAAGCTAGACGTCTAACTGTTCTAAAAGACTCCTCTCAGCTTCTCTGGCTGATGCCATAGATATGAGTATAGTAATTCCTCTCTGTATCTCTTAGCTTTGGGGACTCCAGTGATCCCATATTGAGCCTGTAACACCTACTGTGTACCTGCAGACAGAAAACAGTAGTTTCAGCAAACATAACAAAAAATAAATTTTGCCCTAAGACATAAAGAGCACCATCGGAGATCTGGAAAAATCCAGATAGTCTTTTAATCTTCCCACTTTCTTTTCTAACTTTATTAATATATACTAAACTGCAATAAAGTGTGTTGAATTATCAGTAGGATCGTTGTTGCCGCATTCTCATCCCAGTCTTTCAGAAGAGGAAAGCCACACAAAATTTTCAATCTAGATTTTATGCTCCAAGCTAATCTGAACCTTAAGCCAAGCATGGTTGGGTGACTGGTTAGAATATAAGTGAATAAATCAGACTTAAACATCAAGAGTGAACTTCAGACAGTGTATAGGACTCTCGTCTTGGGATCAGTCTGTGCAACCTTGCAAAACCCACCTTTGAGGAGAGCTGTTAAGATAGACATCTCAATGTCCTGTTGCCCTTCAGACCCCATGCGGAACACGGTAATCTAAAAGATAACATAAAACCAAACACACAAAATTACAACATATGAGAGAGATTGACTAAACACATCGATACAAAAAAGAACAGTGGTGAAGGTTTATTATTTTCTAAAGGAGATTTAAAAAAACCCAAACAGTTCCACTCAATTTTTCTTTGAAATTTAATTTTCACAAAAGCATTTAATTAAATTCTTTCAATTAAGTTATCCTAAAATATTCCTGCATTGGTAAATGTGACAAACTTAACGAAATTCTTCACCAAACCCGTGAATTTTGAAAAATGGTGACAAAACTGCCACACCAAACTGATTGTTTTCTGACCGTGCTATTACTTTCCAGAAGTAATGGAAATGCTAGTTACCTGAGATAACTATCATAGCATTAATTTGATTGATGGCAACACTCAAGTATTTTTCAGTTGAGGGCTATGCTATGTACTGACAAACAAAAAAGCAGAATCAACTAATAACACAAAGCAATTATTTCTGGTCACATTTGCTTAGTTGAGTCCAGTACAGTTCACTCTTTTTAAAAACAGTAATGAGTACAAAGCTTAGCCACTGACCTACAGATCAAAAGATTAATAATTCAAAAGCAGAATAACTTAATATTCTATGTTAATTAAGTTAATACTGAAGGCAGACAGAAAATAACAAAGTCTTTTTTATTTAAAATTTTAAGAAAAAATGTCACATCATCTATTGGAGACAGTATTAAACTTGGGAAGAAGAGTTTGGCATTTGTCTCCAAGCTGATTAAAGACAGAGCGTGGGCTCTGTGGATAGAAAATACACTTAGTTTTAAGGAAGCTTGAAACACCATTTTTCTAAGAACTTAGAAAATACTCCCTTTTCTCAGCCTCATGGGAGAAGCTTAATCTGTCATTCAAATAGATTCTTTATAGCTGCTCCTTAGTGATAAAATTAGGCATCTTGAACAATGAAAATGCCCTCACATTTAATGCTTAATTCAATAGCAGTTTGGTTATCTGACTCCTTACATGCAGCAGCTGTGGTAGTTCTCTCTTGTTTATATCTAATAGAAATATGCAACTTTAGTAAAAAAAGGTAAAAGAATCAGCCATACTAGTTCCAGCTGTAATTATAAAACCACAAATATCCATCAGAGTGTTCATCTGCTATTAAAACAGCTGCTTTGGATTTGTATGAAAGAATGAAATGAAATTATACCAGGTGTCAAGAGAGAGGTCATATTTACAAAAATTCAGTAAGACAGTTAGTCAAAGGAAAACATTCATTGTACCTGAATAGCACACTTTACTGGAATGAAAGGATGTTAAAAAGTAACTGTATCAGAAGACCAAACCTGTGCTGGTGCACTTTGAATGCTTAGTGCTCCTAGGAACCCTTTCTTCAGTTCCTCTACTTTCTGCAGATCCTGGTTTTAGTGCATTTATCTCAGCGGAAGTCCGTGAAAAAAGACTGCTATCAACTCACACAGAAGAATCTGAAATTGGTTTTAGAGGCTTTCCAGAAGACAAAATCCCTTTCTTGGCCTATGCTTAAGAATGAATGATTGCATACATTTATGAAGCTATATAGAAAGAAAAAAAACCAACCAAACAAACAACAAAAAACAAAACAGCTTAAACTGTAACCCTAGGAGAGTGGCACTTGAAAGTACTCTATAAAGTTTGGTCACAGAAATTATTTTTGTGAACTACTTTTAGGACACTTACAAGTTCTTTCTTTTTCATGCACTCCATAAGAATGATGAACAACTGATGAGCTTGGTTCCTGTTGTAGTTAAATGTTTTCTGGATGGTAACTAGAAGCTGGTCCCTGAGGGATTCGCTTATTATCCTAAATGAAAAATGAGACAGAAAAGAAGACATTGCCAGAATTAATATATATTCAGAAGGCCTGCTGTTTGAGAAATGATTTTTCACCCACCAATGCAATTACTTGTTTTTGAAAATTAGTGAAAACACAGAGCATCTTTGCATTCAGTACAGGTAAGGTGTTCGTTAAGAGTAAGCAGGAAATTCATACTGAGACTGGCTGTTATGCACTTCAGTATTGATTTAAAAACTGGCAGGGAACTTGAACTATACTTTCACCTTGGAATATAATGCATGTAGCTCTTACTCCTGTTATATACTATAGATATAGTTTCGTTAAGAATTTCACTCTTCAGGATTTCAGCAGTACATCTTACAGGACCCCTACCTTTACCTCTAAACGTTGCAAGACCTCTCTGAGAACTAGGGCCTGTGTTTGTGAGGCTGCTGTCAGCCGCCTGTAGAAGGTCTCATCAACTTCCTCATCCTGCCTGTAATAGACACCCACAACAGTATCACCCATGCTAGCCTGTCCCCTTACTCTCTGTCCACAAACTCTCAACTCAGTCCTCATTAGATAGGGTGGTTAGTAGGTCAAGAGAGGTTCTCCTCCCCCTCTACTCTGCCCTGGTGAGACTGCATCTGGAATATTGTGTTCAGTTCCGGGCCCTCAGTTCAAGAAGGACAGGAACTGCTGGAGAGAGTCCAGCACAGAGCCACAAAGATGATGGAGGGAGTGGAGCATCTCCCTTATGAGGAGTGGCTGAGGGAGCTGGGTCTCTTTAGCTTGGAGGAGACTGAGGGGTGACCTCATTAATGTTTATAAATTTGTAAAGGGCGAGTGTCAGGAGGAAGGAGCCAGGCTCTTCTCAGTGATAGCCAAGTTTTCACTGTAAGGGTGACAGAGCATGGCCCAGGCTGCCCAGAGAGGTTGTGGAGTCTCCTTCTCTGGACACATTCAAAACCCGCCTGGATGTGTTCCTGTGTGACCTGGTCTGGTGATCCTGCTCTGGCAGGGGGGTTGGACTGGATGAGCTTTCAAGGTCTCTTCCAAACCCTAACATTCTGTGTGTAATTCAGTGATATGTCACCTTGGTTATCCTGTTTGTTCTCTTAAACAGAGGCTTTAAATTGGTAGCTTATCTGAAACCTCATAACCCTCTGAGAGACTACCAGACCAAGAGACGATTAAAGAAATTAGATCAAAAACATTCTAGAAGGTCAGATATGTTTGATCTCTCAAAGCAATCTGAAACAGAGCCTTTCAATCTTTGTCCATTTCCTAATAAAACACACATATTTTCAGATAATGGCAAACATTACCAGCAGGCATTCAAAGCAGTGAAACAGCTGAGCCTGCAAAGTGTAGTAAAATTGAAAGTTCACTGTGAGAAAATGATTCTTTTAGACAGCAGAGCTGACAAAAAATTCTCATTACAGAGCTGCCTTATCAAATTAACACATTTATCTCATCACAATTATCAGAGAGGAAAACTGGACACTGTGTCATCTGTACTGGAAGAGAAAGCCATGCAGTGAGCAGATCTCAGACAGTCTGGTCCTCTATTTTTTTTTATTTTCTCTAAGCTAAGGAGGCTTGGTCAGCAGAAAGGAAAAGCATCTTGCTGAATCATAAATACTGTCGGTAGGATTAAATACATATTTTTTGGAAACGTTAAAAAAATCCACCATCAGAGCTGCTCTCCCAAGCAATACATCCCAAGTGGTAACAATTTCTATTCATTAATGCCAGGGCTAAGATCAAAGAGGCAACTTTTGTCAGCTTTGGACTGACAGCAGAATGATTCTATTAGTAGCATTTTGTTTCTGAGGTGTTTGTTTATGAAGCTTTAATGGAAGCAAGGCATATAATCCTATGTTGTCCTCCTGAGCAAGAAACACCTTTGGTGAAGATCTCAAAATCTTACCCTCCTTCTTCTGAATACTTGTGAGCAAATGACAGAATATCTGATGCTCGTCCACTACCATCACATATCACAACAGGGAGAGGGGGTTCTTCTCGTAGACACTCTAGGACTATGGAGATCACGTTGGGACCCCCTTCCACTATGAGCCCAACTACAGGAACACCTTGTCCCAGCCCTGCAAAAAACAGAACAACAGAAACAAAAAAAAGAGGTGTCATTGAAACTTAGTTTAAGAAGTTGAGATATTATAAGTAGATGTGATTTCTGTGTTACAGCATCACTTGAAACCAGAGAAGTTAGGAAAAACAATGGCTATTTCATGGCCAACCCCAAGAAAAATGTCCATATGTCATTTCATAGACCAAAAGGAAAAGAATAAGATGTCTCTCTGCCCTTGCTTTTGCCTCAGCTCCATACTGATCATGTATTCACTCAGTGTTGGTGAATTATTTATGATCTCTTTCAAAAGACACCATGTACATACAAAACAGCTAACATGATTCTCCTATTACTTCATTAGCTTCACTGCTACTTGGATGGCTTCCAGCTACTGTGTCTTTGGTGTTTTAACTCTCCATTGGTTATCTACAGGAAGTCTTCAGTAAGGTGACAGATATCTATGTATTCTCCTAAGATAAAAAATATGAAATCAGTGAGTTTATAATGATGGTGAAATGGCTGGCCGATGGAAGAGACGACAGCTGAGCATCCCTTTGCTGTCCCTGCCTCACTGTGATCTCCAGGCATAGGATGACAAAGGGAAGCCCACAGGTCACATGGTTTCAGTAGCCTTGGTCACAAGATACTTGGGAAAATGAAGGACAAAACATTACCTGAAGGCTGACTAATCCTACTATCATAAGTATTTGAACACAGCTCTTAATCTGTAAAATGACCAGCGCTTTATAAAGACGACACACTTTTTGTACTGCTGAGAACACATGAAAAAGTTTGTATTTGCAACCTTCATTCCTCTCTGAAGAACAGGAACACCATTCACAGTAACAGCAGAAGCTTCCTGCCATCCTCTGTAAGTGTACCCCAGCTCTGATAAGGAGTCACAGAGCATGGGCCGGCCTGCGTATCCATGTTCCTGCTGAGATTTCCAGAAGAGGTGCCTGTGCTTGAAGTGATTAAAAAGAAACAAAACAACTCCCTGAATGCTGTTACTAGCAGGTGTACTGCAGCCCTTCACAGAACTCTTAATTCCTATGTGTATTCCCAGCTTTGGCCTTCTTGTTATAAAAATCACCAAATGCTACTTAAATCAGAACCAATATCCCCAACCCTAGCGGTATTAAAAGAAAAGATACAGAACCTCTGGGCCCTGACTTCCTTATCATCCAAAGACAGTACTCCCTTTTACAATGTTACAACACTCCTAGCTCTTCTGTAGAAAACAGAGTTGAAAAAAGCATAGCCAAGGTTAGCTATTTCTAATGTCTGTTGGCAACAGTGCATTACACTATCTCCACACTCAAAGGCAAGGGGCAGCATCATTTTGGTAAGTTCAGTTTCTTAAGCTTACCATAGGCATAAAGGAGGACTTAAAGAATTCCCAGAGTGTTGGGGTATCTTGTGGCTGATGTCTAACTGCTCCTTGTGGCTTTACTTGGCACTCCATTTTCCTGTTCTAACTACAAGAGCACTTAAACCCTATTAGAAACTTTTGTAGAGTTCAATGCAACTGTCATTCTGAATGTTTCTCTTTTCTCTTATTTATAAAGGCCTACACAAGCTACAGTGGCATCTAGGCATCTATAAAAAGTCAGAAAGGCAAGTATTACCACTGAGGTCTATTTTTCAGTAGCTCTTACTGGAGTGTGGATTCAAATACTATTTTTTTTGACCATTTTTAATTTGGATGCTGTTGTGTTTGGTTGGTTTTTTTTATGTTGCTGGAAAACCACAATTAAATAAACAATTTCTTCAATTTATTTGAACTTTAAAAAAAAAATTGCCTTCCACAAAAAAGTTAATGAAAAAATGTCTTTTAAAACATTTTTTTTCTAATTTATGACAAAAAGAATTCCAGAAAGTTCTTTTAGAGAGGCTGCATAAACTGTCGGATATTTTAAAACTGCACAAAACTCTAAATATTAGAGCACTGATGTGAAATTATCTTGATTATGGCTTCATTAAAAATCAAAACACCAGCTGCGTTTATCTGGACAATCAAACAATTCTGAGTGTGATATTTCAAATGAAACATATTCATATAAAAGAGAAAATAAAATGTTAGTATGAACATTTGGAATCAGAAACCACTGAGATGCACAGGATTCCTGTAAACAGGAACTGTACACAATCACCATTTGGCAAGTTTACCAATGCATATGAATCTTAGCTACAAGTGCATAAATTCTTTACATTTCCCATTCCTTGAATTCTTACTGATTTGAAGCTTCTCCATGCTATTACTGTCAACTTTTCTTCCTCCCTTTATGCAATCCTTACTTTTCTGGGTTTTCTGGGCTGTTAGATGCGGGCTCTTTCACCCCTTATAGACAGTGTATGTTCTAGTTTAGTCACACAGTCCTGATCAAATTCCTGCTAGAAAAAGCTGGAAGAAGCATTTAATTTCAATACTTTGAGGTATTTCAAGCCCTCCTTCCCTCCCTTCCTTTAAGACGTGTTCTTTACAGTTTGCCCCACAGTACTTACGTGTGTTAATTTTCTGGAGGGAAATGTGTTTTTCCAACTGACGTCGTAACTTTACTTCAGCTCCATATTTACCTAGCGTACCATTGTCTGCCAGAATGAAGTGGGTATGGGAACTGTTGAGCACAGAGAGCTTACTTAGAGGGTTTGACATTGTTTGGTAAACTCGTGTTACCTGTGTGTCAAAAAGACAGATGCACCTAGATTAGAACTAAGAACTAAATGTGGAAATCTCCCACATCACTCAACAGAAGCACATGCCTTATGAGGAAACAAATCAACCAGGCTTTTAGAACCAAAAATAGGGGAGCAGTGTTTTCTTTGGAGGGTGACAGTCACATCTGTGCACTCTCCTGTATGTTGCACTAAGCTCATGTACTCTCCTTGATCACACACAGTGTCATATAATCCTCTTACTGCATTAGAGGATACGTTATTATTTGGAGTTCTTAGTAACTAATATGCCACTGCAGAGTACAATAAATGTCAGTCTTGTACACATAGTGGTTTATAGAAGTCTCAACATGCCACACTGAAGTTAGGACCTAAAACTCTGTCACCACAGAGAAGTCTCTGCTATTGAAAGCAATGGAAACCTCACAAGCTCCAGATTTACTCTGAAGTCATGTACGACAACCTGACAAATATATTTAAACAAGAGCTTTTCTTCAAGAAATTGCTTCATTTCAGCCCTTAGACACGCTTTAGAAACAGTGAAAGTATTAATACTCCAAAAAGATGAACAGTGTATTTTGTTAAACAGCTGACATTGCTGACACAGGAGTTTCCTTAAAGACTTACATCTTTGCCTATCAGATCTTCCTTGTTTTCTACAATGCCCCATGGTGCAATTCCTACGGCACATATTCGTCCTCTGGATTTGGAAGAATGATCTTTCAAGGCATCTCCCACATGACGAATGACACCTATAGGTAAAATTAATTTAATTTGTTCTTGTCACTTTTGAGAGACCACTGAACAACAGAACTTTCTTCTTGGCTTTCACAGACCTACCTGCTCTTCTGGATTGCTTTCACTCTAAACTGGTATCTATCTCTACTTTATAATAACACGTGCAATGCAGACAAACCTATGCTTTTATTTCTTTATAGTTATGTGTAAATCCTAGTGCCTTTTCACATGCTTGTTCTGAATTCAATGAAGTCTTTAAAAGACTTACCCAGTTACTTAACTAGCCACAGTGTAATCTGTACCATTGTCTGGAATTAAATTATTCACGGTACACAACACTAAACACATGTGGAATGCAATCACTGGGGTCTGAGCAAGCAAAAACTCCCAACCTTATAGTTATCCAAGAAATATTTTTTCACTTAAAAATTATTCTGAATAGCAATCATGACCTTCCCTTAAAGACATTAGACCTTTGTTGCAAAGGAATTCAGTCTTACACAGTTTTCTGAGTAGTAACTTGATATAAAGATTTATTTCAGCCAAATGAAGATAGTGTTATAGAAATGTTATAATGAAAGTTTGCATCTGATTGTTTTTTGAAGATCACTCGGAATTGGTATTAACATAAATGAAATGAAGTAAAAACCGTCTGGTCTCAAAATGTAACAATATATAGGAAATCATCAAAATAGCTATTTTTCAACATGTCTTTCAAATTTTGGACATCCCATCAGACACCTTTTTTTGGCAGAATCTAGAACTGTGCCAAAAACCTCCTGGTGGCATTATGTGGGGTTGCTGTATGACTGATGTTTTATATACGGCCAAAAAGGAAACACAGTAAACATAAAACTGTTTCAGATGAACAGAAGACTGGAGGAAAAGGCAAACAGGAGATTGCAGTGTTTTTAAGTACAGACATTTAAACCTGGCTTTAGTTTTGTGTTTCAAAATTGCTAATTTACAGTCATTAATTTAAAAACAAATATACAATTACAAGGCAGAGCATGTGCATGGGTGGTCCCATGGAGACGGTGACTCAGAGACATGGCATTTAAGGTAGGTTATCAATCGATCATTAACTCTCAGAGATTTCACACAGCCTAAAGGCTAAGTTAGTCTTTGGCTGCATGAATGGGGAAGTGCCAAATGGCAGCAGAAAGGATGTTTCAGGGAGCAGAAAGGATACTTCAGGGATTGAAACTTCATCAAGCACTGCCTCAAAAATTGCAGCATCCAAAATTCAAGAAGGCTGTTAAAAAGCTAGCGAGAGTTCAAAGAGGTGTGATATTGACTGAAGGACTGAAAAACATGCTTAGTGTGAGAGTTTTATGGAACTCAGCCTGTGCCATTTGACAACAGAGCTGTGTAAGAAAACACGCTCTGAAAAGATACTTTTCCTAACAGAAAGATCTTTGTACAAAAAAAACCAGTAAGAAGCTAAAGCTAGGCAAATTTGGAGTAGGAGATTTATTAACTACAAGGACAACCAACCACTGAAAACAAAAAGTATTGAAAAGTAGATTCCTTGCTACTGAAACCAAAGATGAATTTTTTTTTTCAGGGTAAATTTGCACTGAGTAATGAAAATTGATATTGACCCAGAAAACTCCTACCGTCTGGGCAATGACTACAATGCCCCTTTTTCGATCTAGTGGCTAATGACTCATTCATGTGGACCCTGATTTTCTGCCTGTGGAAAAGACTACGTAGTGAACATCACTGAATTCTTAAGTAAGCTAAAAATGCTGCTAATTGCTTACCTGTACTAACACCTCCAGTGAAAATCCAAGCTCCTGTGGTCATGGCAGCCTTTATCAGACCTTTTCCAAATACTTGCTTTAATTTAGGTTGCATTTCAAAGTTCTGGAGGCCTCCATGGACAGAGATTAAGAGTTTGGGCAGTTCCAGTTGCCAGTCTTTCACCATGAGATGCAGCAGAGAATCTGGTTTAGTGTCGTATGACACACGGATATACTGCAAAGAGCAATGTATAATATTATCACTCCATCTGCTCTATGAATTTCCTATTGACTGTCCAAGAATGATTATAATAAGCCTTCCATCTTGAAGAAAGAATCTTACAATTTTTAAGCAACATATTATTAAATTTCTCTACTCCTTATGATTAGAAAAACAGGTTGAAACCTTTCACTTTGCTATTGAGAATTTACCATTCTCTTCATGAATTTTAAAAGCACTACTTTCCTCTCTTCACCTGCAAAATTGACAGCAATCAAGTGCTCCTAAGACCTCATTACAAATCTGCATTGTTGGAAGCCATCTATTTTTAAATGACTGAAAGATGTTTTGTATTGTTCCTAAAATCTCTGGTTTGAATGCCAAAGAGAAGCAACTTCATAAGAAATAGAGGGCTTATGTTACATTTTATCCCATTCACTGTCGATGTACATATTTCAGCTTTTGAAGCAATGATTGGCATTCTTCTCAGTTTAGTTCCACCACTGTGATTTTTTTTCAAACTACTCCTCTATCAAAGAAAACTCGTGTTTATTTCTGCTTTAAAAACAAACCAACCAACCACCACTAACCAAAATCACCAACCCCTCCCATACACTTTGGGCAAGTTTTTGCTGTGTGGCTGTCTCAAATGGCAGTCTCAGCAAAGAGATAAGACAGCAAATGGGGAAAGAAACAAATCTAGGTTTGAATTTCTTCAGAAGAGAAGCAAAACAAAGAATTTTTTTGCAGCAGCTTGACTAGCTGTTACCGCCGCTGCTAAGAAAACTCAACAGTCCATTTTCCAGCTCTGTCAGGCCTCCATCTTTCAGGAAGACAAGATTAAATTGTATTTTTATTAGACTTCAAACCTTAGAAAAAAAACCTCTACCCCTGCAGGGATATTTGGCCCACAGATCTAATACAGATGGAATCCTGGGTATTAACACATGCAGCTGCCTCCTTAGCCAATATTTACTGACAGTAACTTCAATGAAACTGTTTTATCAAGACATTATAAGGTGCTTCCTAAGTAGGCATTATTTTTCGCTTGCGTTTTCTCTCTTTTTGAGTACCTTGTCCACACCTTTCTGAGATAGCAAAGAGACCCCCTTTGATTTCAATAGATTATGCACCAAGTGGAATCCTGACCCATATCTATTAAACTAACATACCAGATTAATACTTTACAGTAGAGCCGATGGTTCTTACCATGGCCTTATTTGAATGTCCTCCTCCTTGGAACTCAAGGTTTCCATAGGCATCAGTTGGGTATGTCTGCGTGTGTTTACTGACTGACCATTTCTCTGGTTGAGCTTCCACTTGCTTCGTTTCTTCTCCATTTTTATTAGCTGTTATACTTGGAGGAGGTGGGATATGTTGATTAATGAGCTGGCCACAGCAGCACCTGTAAGGTAAAATTTGAAGTGAGTTTGATTACAGTATCTTCAATATTGGATAGTGATTAAAAAAAAATAAATCAGAAATCAGGTTTTTCAGCTGACCATACTTTGCTCTACGTGTATCATAGAAACACCTCTTCCAGATCGTATCTGTTGTATTTGCCTACACACATATGCCAGAATTACCAGCCCACAGGTGTTCCTTAACAAGCAAAGATTAAAAAATTCACTTCACTTCTGTAATACACTGGAAAGCTGTTCTAGGCTAAAGGACAGGGAAGGAGGAAGAATGCAGAAATAGGAACAGTGACTATATGTTTCTTACTAGAGGTGACAGCTAGCATGTGTCATAAACTGTTATGTTATCCAAATAAGCTGGACCACAATTTATCTGGCACATGCAGTAGCAGTAATATTAATATTTGAACTAAGAATTCCAGTCCCCTTGTACAGTATTGTTATTTGTAGCATCATACCAACTGTGAAGAATAGGACCTCTTGCTTCACAGTGCACACTATTGCATCCTTGCTTTCAGAATTCACTATGAACTTATGCTCTGGCTTGCAAAAATAGGAACGAACAACTCACTGCCCCTCCTGCTGCCCAGCCTTGCCATCTCTGTGTCACATGTCCAATGGCTCTGTATAGATTCAAGTGCAAGTATGTCCTGCACTTCTGTTCCCCTGTCATCTCCCTCTAATGGCAGTGTAAACTGGGTCTCAGTTTCACACATTTAAATCCAAATCAAGTCCAGTTTCTTCAGTATTAATCTTCTCTGTTGCCCAAAACAAAAATTTCAAATGTTACCTGCTACTGTCTTTGTTGTTGGCAATTACGTAGATGCATTCTCTTTTTGAAAAGGTCTTCTCTATCCAAGCCTTTTGACCCTTAAAATGGAGAAAAAATAAGAAGAAGCATGCTGAAACATTACTGTGTGGCAGATTTGCCTTCTACGTTCAGCTACTGTTTTTAAAAACAAGCACTGACTTCACTAAACCACTTTTAAATCACCAGATACATCTACTCATGAAGCAAGTAGATGATGTGAATTTTCCATGACTTAGATACAATTCAAACCTCAAATATGTGTAGAAAACTTTATGCACAAAGATGCTAGTCTTGAAGCTACAATGTTTATCTGGTCTACCAAAAAAGGCAGCTGCTACTTCCTATTTCAGTAAACTGTGAATGGCCTCAAAGTAGTACAGAAAAACAGCATAAATTGTGACATAGACTAATAGTCTTTACTCCAAATAATATTGAGTCTTGTTCTTTGTATGTAGAAATTGCTTCCCAAAACCATTCCCTGCTTGCTTAACAGTCTTCTCAAAATTATTTTTATCAGCTGTAAATTAAGTTCCAGTTATTCCTAAGGCATCTTACTCTTAAGATGTGTCTCAGGAGAAGGCATTCCTTAAATTGAAAGAATATTTGACAGAAAAGAGTACAAACTCTTCAGGCATGGTATATCTGTGAAACAGGAGGAGGAAAACAACCTCGAAGACAAAATAAAATTGTGTTGGCCTATTATACAATGTTTGCAAACCAGAAATTAAACCAAGCTCACAGGCATTTAAAAAACAACGTGCAGGCAGTGTAGAACAAACTCATAGATCTGTGCAATGTGGTTAGAAAGTCTATTGCAAAAGTGTAGTCTGGTTGTGTTTGGGAACACTGCAGGGAGTGAGTTCAGAAATAGCTGCAGGCCACAGTTTCCCATAGTTTCTTACTTGCAGACTCCAGGCCTTCTCTGTCCCTGCAACCATCAACAAGGCAAAGTAGCATCATAATTGCAATAATAAACCAACATCTAGTGGTGAATTTTAAAATGTGAACTCAAAAGCAGCCTTTTAATTTTAAAAGAATGAAAAATGTTAAAAAACACTCACGATTCGATGAGACCGGTAACTTTGCCTTGCTGATGAAAGCTGCTGCTTCTGCATCTGAATTAGGGAACTCTGTCTTAATTTTCAAGTAGCTAGCAAATTTCATATGTTTTGCTTTAGTTTCCTCTGTGGAAGTGAAATGAAATTTTCGCAGCGACAAAAGCTAAAAACAACCTGAGAACTTCCAAGGTGCCTTCAACAAAAAAACCCAGGCCTTCCCTAGAGAAAGAACTAAAAACTTCGGTGATTTCCTTACTTAAGAAAGTCAACTGCAGATTTCTGTCGGATGAATGCTCTGTCAGCCTGTCTGGTTAGAATTTTGAGACTGGACTAAGTGCTCATCTTTTTCATCTGTCTCTGAAGTTCCTCTGTTGTTGTTGACTTGCAAGTTCCTGTCTGGCTTCTTTGTTCCCTCCATTATGTCTGAAATAACAGGAGACTACTTGAAGATCCCTCATCGTGAATAATAGTAAATAAATTGCAAACCCAAGCGTCTACTTCATGAAAAAGCTGTCCATAATCTGTCTAAATACTTAAATGTTTGCCTCTTTTAAGTGCCTTTGAGGCAGAATGTCTTGACAGTCAGTGGTCTAGGAGATCCTGCATGTCTGCTCTCCACTCTAATAGACTTACTGATTTACTAAGGCAGAACCACCTCATTTCATTTTAAAAGGAGTTGTTCGGGAGCTCATAGCCCCACAGAGCAAGGAGGAGTTAAGAACTCATCAGACCAACTCTAGTGTTACATGCTTCCTGAATGACAAGGCATATATTTCAGGAATGTAGGCTAAAGAGCCTGATTATGTAGCACATTTTGAAGGAAAATAGTATTAAATTTAATATCTACAGGCTGTGTCACTTGGTCAGCTTTCTTGTCTCAACTCCATACATTCCTTCTTTAAATGAACCTAAAAGCCTTTGTTTCCAAAAATATTAAAAAGGTTCTTTTTATATGCTTTCTGGCGAGGCTTTTACAAGATGACAAGTTTCAGCAACAGTATTATTAGAAACACAGCTCAGAAAATGGTTTAGTTTTATAGGATCTGTCTAGTTACTGTGGCACACTTCCAGAAAAGTCCAGAAGAAAACGCCAAAGACAGGGAGATCCAGGAGGCTCTGTCATATGTGGAGGTGGCTGGTTACACGAAATAAATGTCATTTACCTGTTCAGAACCAGATTTTGCTAATTCACAGGTATTCAGGCTGTTCAAAATAGTCAGACAGCCAAAAATAGTTTCTTTGATTGGAATTACACTAGCTTTTCAGAATTAATACACAGCCACACAGCGTCCAAATTCACTGCTGTTTTACTACTATGTCCAATGTTGTTACTCATGCTCATACACACCATACTAGCGTATGACCTTTAAAATTAGCTTAACAGGAACCTGTTACAGAGGTTATGTCATTTATCTACTTTTAAAATTACATACTTTCATTTTGAATTAATTTGGGGTTTTTATTATTATTTTATATATTTTAAACATATTTACTTTTTTCTCTGAAAAACATTTTAGACTCCCACGTGGTCTCTGATAACTCCTTGACAGTGACACAAATGCCTAAATCAATCCCACAGAGCAGGAAACCCTCTTCAAAATATAAGTGGTAACAGATGATGCATTTTTAACTGTTCTGTAGAGAATACTGGAAAGTGCAAGCTAGAAATATCAAAACCAC